TTTTGAGATGACATTTGTATATAAAGTGTTATTCAATTCTATTGAGTGTTGAGAGATTTTAATCAATCATTACGTAGCTAAAAAAGTGGAACGGGATAGGATAGATTGCGTAAGCGTGCGATAGTGAAAAGTAACAGTTTTACGATGACATTAAGAATTAGATAGAATTCTTGCAAGACGACTACTAGTTTACCGTGACACTGAACCAACTCGGATGAGTCAATAAATATCGTTTTTTAAGAAATAGTACATTAAAACGGATCGTTGAAAAATAAAGCATTTTAATCAATTTAACATTAAAATAAACATTAAACAAAAAAATTTTAACATTAATTTTATAAAAGGGAGAGTTTAAAGTTTTTTTTTGTTTATAATAAAGATTGATTTGCATTTTAAAGCATTTTAAAATTTTCCATCGAAAGATTATTGTGACATATAAGAGTATGTTAACATGTAATGCATAATTCAATTGATTTTACATCTTTGCATTCATAATTTAAAATTTTTAGGAATTTAGAGAGTTACGGAAAAGAAGATGTAGAATTATATTTCCTGAATTACGTATGCGTGCAGAAAGCCGGAAAATTGCAAAGAAAATATTATAAGAATATATAATAAAATGTGCATATATTACGAGTATATTTATTTGCTTTGTAACTCTTAATTATGCAATTTGTAAAGTTTTCCTAAATTGCAATATTTCATTTTATACATGCGTTCATGTGTGTCCGATAAGAAATAATGCATATTTACCTTTGGCCATTAAGACAACTGCATCTCTGGCGGCATCCGCGATGCATTCTAATACTTTCGGGTCTGACCTCTTGCAAAGCTTGAAATTGCTAGCTGTAAGATGGAGAGAAAAGGAGAAAAATATTGCGTGTAAGCTGTTATATAACTGACTGCATTGCTGCAGATCCAATAAAAGCCACGCGCTCACTCGATCTTTAGACGGTTGTTGACTTTCTCTTTTAACCTGCACGCGTGTTAATTTCGGGTCGATGGTATAATTTTATCTCAATAATCTGATCGCGCAAGCAAAAATTCAATTGTTGATCCTGAAGGGACGTAATTTTAGCTGCCGAATATAAAACATGAATAAGCATCAATTTTAGTCAAAATGCTCATTCATGTTTTGATTAAAAATAAGATGTTGCATCCGATTAAAAATTGTGCATATATTGATTTCATGTTCTTAAACACACATACAATGTGATTAATTCGAAAAATCTGTCACTTATATATAAAAAATTATTAATATAATAATAATTAATTAATATATTTTTATTAGAATCGTTATTATTATTATATATTATTACAAGAATTACTTTATAAGTGGAAATTTACATTGATTTATTAGTAGTGAATTTAGTGCTGATTAAATTTTATTTTAAATAATCTTAAAAGATCAAACACAAAAAATTCTTTCCTTTATTGAAAATATAGAATTATAGATATTTTACATTTGTTTCTATGTTATCCAATTTTTATCCCGAGTTTTCCAGTTACTGATTACAAAGGAATTAAAAATTGATTGACTTGTTACTCAAAATTACGTTACAAAAGAATTTTTAATGATCGAGATGTATATATTAGTAAAACATTTTAATTTTGCAACATATTATAATTTATTATTAATAACTATTGCTTGCCATGTATTAAAATGCGATGATTTAAGTGATGATTGTTTCAAGCAAATTCGATTCAACGATGCAATTTATGAATTATAGCGCAACATAGCTATAATTTGAAAGCGAATAAACTCTTACGCAATTATACGATAGTTAAATATTCCTAATATCCACTTTTATTAACCATTAGGATTGCATCATTCATTATGATTCGATATATGTGTGTTTTAGCACAGTTGGTACAAAATTAATTATCACAAAAAATCTAATATGTAAAAAAAATGAGAGACATAAAATTAATTTCGTAACGATAAGTTAATAGTAGTACATCATATTAACATCATATAGTAAATTAATATATTCCATATTGTGATTAATTTTAGAAAGAAATAATTTATAAAATGATGAGAGAATTTAAATTATTTAGTAAAATGCAGTCAATATACAAGCTGCAAGACTTTTCTTAACTATGTAAATAATTTTTATATCAAAATAAAATATTTTTTTACAAGATCTTGCAATTAAGCTGTATGTATGTGTGTGTTTTTAAATACAAGTATATATATATATGATATATTGTATATTAATATATACATTATAACTTATAGACATGCATTTGACTATGTTGTAATACAATCAAAATAGCACTATTTTTAAAAAGATTAGAGATAGATTATTTATTTTAAATTTAGTTAAATAAATATTTTAAATATTGCAATCAAAATCGAATAAGCCATTTTATAATTTAAGAATGATTAAAAATAAACTTCTCGAAATTAGATATACTTCACGAAATAAAAATGAAAAATATTTATGTGTTTTACAATATAATGAATATATAGATAAAGCAATAAATATAAAATATACGATTTTTAAAATAGAAAAATACATATTGAAGATGTGTAATCTCGATATAATAAATGCGCAAACATGTCATTATTTATCGATTTAATCACTTAATTAATTTTTGTTTTACATCATGAGGTTAATACATTTTGAACTGACAATATATAATATATTATATTTAAATTTCAAAATAATAATTAACATAATAATAAAAAATTACTCGATCAAATACATGCGTTTTTCAAAGATACACCTTCGAATAAATATATCATTTATAATACAAATATAATTTTTGAAAAAAAGATGACTTGACCTATAATATAAAAAAACAACAACGAGAAAATCAATCTGTAATTATACTTACGTAGTTCTAATGTCGTGGTTGCAACCACTGCGAACAGGAGTATGACTATCGTTTTCATTATTCCTGAAATCTTCCGTCAATGACACTTTACAGCATCAGCTGAAAGTCAAGCAACTCGGGAGAAAATGTTCAATGGTTGTTGGATGTGAACTGGGAGACATGGACAATCCAGACAGTCTATTTAAGTACCGTTCGCCCCACCATGGTCCAATAGTGGACATCGTTTGTATATACTATATATGCACGTACATATATATATGCGTTCAGGGTGAGAAAGTGGATACCTGTGTTATTATCCAGCGACATACCTATAGCATATAGGTCAGCTATCAATTGCTACGACTTATTCGCCTAAATGTCTATTTGGCATGTCAACAAGAGATAAAATTAATTCCACATAATTGTATGAAGTGAAATATTATTTAATCGTAAGTTATATAGTGTAGCTGCACATATATACAATGTGTGTATTTATTTGCAGTCGAATATAACCGAAGATTCTGTGATTTTTAATTATTATAAATTACAATATATACAAATTTACAAAAAATAATCATTATATTTTGCACGTTAGATTTTAATTTTAATCACTTTTAAAATATCATCAAAATGTTTTTAAAATAGCTTACTAATTGTTTAATAAAAATTAAAATTTCATTAAAGTTTATAGTTTTTTTATCTTATTTCTTATTGCAGCAGCAAATATATTTCGAACGTGAAGCAGTTTGTACAATTCGAGTCACTGAATATTCAGGCGTTTATTATATACTTTTAAAATATTATTAAAATATTTTTAAAAGATCTTGCTAATTGTTTCAAAAACTAAAATGTCATTAAAATTTATAGTTTTTTAAAAATCTTTTATTGCAGTTGCAAATATATTTCGAACGTGAAGCAGTTTGTATAATTCGAGTCGCCGAATATTCAAGCGTTTTTTATGTAAAAATCTAAAAAAGAAATTTACACGGTTATTTAAAATTATAAAAAGAATGATAAATTATGCACTATGTTGTCATAAACATCGTTGCAAATAAATTTTCTCGAAAGCATTGAATTTATAAGTTCGCATTGCATTCATAACTTTTTTCATTGATTCGAATAAGTCGTAACTTCGTGAATCCAGTTTTTCGTGAAGAAAAAACAATTTATTTCTTTTGTTAGATTATATCTGACAATGAGCAGAGAAGAATTATAAATAATTCATTAATTATTATATAATAATATAATACTTATTCGAATGAGTGTATATCTTTAAAAAACGCATGTATTTGATCGAGTATTTTTTATTATTATGTTAATTATTTTTAAAATTTAAATACAATATATTATAATGTCAGTTCAAAATGTATTACATCATATAATGTAAAACAAAAATTAATTAAGTGATTAAATCGATAAATAAAATGACATGTTTGCGCATTTATTATATCGAGATAACAGACATCTTCCATATGTATATTTTTTCTATTTAAAAAAACCGTATATTTTATAATTATTGCTTTAATAAATTACTTTATATTATATCTACATATTTATTATATTGCAAAACACATATTTTTCATTTTTATTTCGTGAAATATATCTAATTTTTCGAGAAGTTTATTTTTAATAATTTTTAAATTATAAAATAGCATATTCGATTCTGATTGTAATATTTGAAATATTTATTTAGCCTTCAAAATAAATACTCTATCTTCCTAATCTATCTCTAATCTTATTTTACTTTACTAAGCAAAATGATATTTAATACTGCAAGAACTCGGCAATGGCCTTGACATTGTTTAGAATGGTTTATGAAATAAGTCTTTAGTAAAAGACATACGCAATATACAATTTACGAGTTGATGTAAAAAAAGGAAATAAATTTCATTCTATCGTATCTCTATGCAAATTTTAAATCAGTACCTATATTCATTAAAATGTCCACGAGTGTGCATTAAATATTTATTTTTCTTGTTATTTTTTACGTTTGCGCTTTTTCGGCAGTTTCTTTGTACTTATTTTGAAATGGATATAATAAGCATATAACTTACTCCTTTTGCATAATGCACGATAAATTTCAATTATTATACAATCGTTTAATTAGCCATATGAGTTTGATATATTGATATTAAATATTAATAAACAATATTAAATTTTTATATTAAAAATTTCTCATATTTAATGCATTATATGTAGATTAGGAATTATAAAATTAGTTTTATCAAATAAAATATTCATAGATATATTCTAAAATAAGTTTGTACAAATGGAGATGCTAAAAAAGCAGGTACTTGATTACATATTATCATCATTATATTACAAATAAAGTTTTAATTTAAGAGAATGTATTTTTATGCAACTATATATATATATATATATAGTACAAGATGTACATCTATAAAACTTGTGACACAAAACGTTGAAATTTTCAAATCGTTGAGATAAAAATTACTTTGTTTAATAATCTAATAAATAATAAAAAAATAAAATTTTATTTCAATCAGAAACTCTTTTCTGATATTTGAGCGCCAAACTATTTAACGGCGGTCTAGCCTTCAGAACTCCAAGATCAATGGCGTGGCCGGTGAGAGGACAGCTTTGGCACCGTTTACGCCTGTAATTCGTATTACAGGTAGTCTTCTCTTGTCGCACCATATATCTGGGAAAGTAATGAATGCGTTTTTTCTGCGCCGTCACGCACGGCGGCATCGTCACTACCAAGTCCCGCTTATGAATCTTGCCTACCGACTCCGGAAAAAGACGTTCGTTCAGCAGATATTGTTGCAACGATCCCGACGATCTAGACGACGCCAATGTGTGACTCGAGCCATGCGTCTCGAAATAATTCTGCTCTCGAAATTTTCTCAAGTCTTCCACTTCTTGGGCCATGGAATCGTCAATTGCGAAACCATCATTATGCTTCAAACATTGGTTTCTTCGCTCGCAATATTCCGACAAATTGTACTTTCTTGCGTATTCATCTTCGTTAAATTTCGCGGCCCTCTTCGGTTCACTCCTACAGCAACAAGGACAATCTTGTTTGCGTAATTGCGTTACTCTTTTACTTCGTGGCGGCGATTTCGAGGTAGGTCTTTCGCTTGACTTTGGTATTTGCGTCTTGGATTTAATAGTCTTTCGTAATGTTGACTTCGGCAACTTTCGCGGAGACACTTGAATTCCTCTGCTCGAAGTACAGGTGACATCGTCGGATTCGCTTCGTTCGCTCGCCAGTGAGTTTGCGGGAGCTGCCGGGGATGCTGGAAATGATTGCCTCTTATCGACATACTTGTGTTCGTTCAGCAATGTTGGCTCTTCATCAGAAATATCTTGCTTCTTCGGCCTTGTTCTGTGGTAACTGGATGATCGCGGACATGTTCGCAAGCGATCTCCCTCGTCTCCAGTTTGTAATTCGCAGATTTTGTCCTGCACATTGCGAAGGAATTGAGATCTAGGCGTATAATCGATCCTTTTAACTCTCCTGAATGTTTCACAGTTGATTGGCGAAGTTAGAGCAGCCTTATTATCGTCGGATTCTCTCATCGTGGATTTGAGCTCAGGTTGACTTCTGCAATGGTGACAAGAGGAGGCAGGCTTACGCTGAGTTCTTGATGATCTTGCGTGCACCTTGTTCACCTCATAATTACAATAACATCCTTTTACCGGTTTTCTAGGCGCAGATTTCAAGCATTGATCTCGTGGTTTCTTAGACGTTAGTATTAATTTTCCAGAGGACGTCATATTTGGTACTGACATGATTGTACGTTTAGGACTGACACCAATGTAATCTGGATGTAAAACAGTATTGATTTCGCTCAAGTTGTTGCGTAATTTCCATAAGTTAGCGTTTCTTCTTACACAATCGCCTTGATTCTTATGATTACAGCAATTTATCAAAGATCTGCAAAAAGACATCATGTATTAAATTATTTGAAATATTATTAAAATGTTTACTTGTACATAAAAATTATTTACAATGTTTGTGAACGTAATATTTTCACTTCAGCATCAATCCTTTTAGAGTTTTCAGCAACACGTGCTAACAATGTTCGACTTTTCTTGCGTAACTTTTCTAAGCTATCATTGAATGCCTCTCCCATACGTTCAGGACTTGCAATAAATTATCCTTAACATGGTATTGTAAAATTGCAAACAGAATTACAGTTTAATTATGTAACGTACTGTTATTACAATTTAATTTATATATCAATATATAATTAAATCAAAATTAAAGAATAAATGTTATATCATTGTAATAATATACGAATTAAAGTTAAAAGAAATTAAAAGAAATAATAAAAATTAAATTGAACTAATAATCATGGAATAAACTTCGGCCTTAATATTTTCTTTCCATAAAGGGATATTAATTATATAATCGTTGGGTTCGTTAACCTAATGTAACCTAACTTTTCATTATACTTAATATTCTTTCAAAATTTATTCACGACACAAACAATGTATCAGTGATGAAAGAATTCTTGAAAATTATTAAATATTTTCGTTGAAAAACTTTTCTCTCACGATTTCCCCAACATACTTGATACGTTCTCCAAATTTTTGACGTTTACGCGTTCCCTAAAAAAAAACAAAATAAAACAAAGAGCCGCTCTAGGTTAGGCAAACACATTGACGAAATGCATTTCTACGTACTCAGTCATTCATTCAAGAAAGAGAGAGAGAGAGAGAGAGAGAAAGAACGCAGAGCCGCGCGCGCGCACGTTATTTAGACGGCAGAACGTTTCGCGGCGCTGCTGACGCTTTTGCGTGACATCTCGCGTCCTTGTCGCGCGCCGGAAGTCGAAAGAGACGGATATTCGGATATGCTGCGTTCCACGGAGGATCGCGGGACGAGGCTTGCTTACATACGTGCGTGCGTAATCTAGCGCAATCTTTGTGAGCCAGAGCGCGCATTCCATGTGCTAACGCAATCTCGGGACGACAGCGAGCAGGTAACATATGCAATCGGATTTATCGCGCGATTTATTATATATATATATATATATATATATATATAGATATATATATATATATATTTGACACGAGACGCGGTCGATCTCACGCATGGGATATAAGACTGGCCTATTTCAGGTTAGACGCACGCGATTGCAAAACACGCATCGTGTGTGTATTACGATTTATTTGGAATTCCATTTATTATGGACTTCTCCGAGAACCAGACGTCTCGCGACGTCCACAATCGCACGTTGCCGCAATTCTCCGAATTACGTCCGAATCATTCTACCAACAGTGAAGATGCACAGTGTCTGTTGAGTGACGAGAAGCAGCAAAGGATGCTGTCTCAGATCAGCAGCCAGATCAAAGCTTATATCGAAAAGAATAGTTCGAGATATTTCAACGCGAATCAGACATCGGTAATTTATTCAAATTTTCTGGTCGAATGTTGTTGCCTCTTGTTTATCTTGTGCAGTTTTATAATTAAACATTATATATATATATATATATATATATATATTTTTGCAATTATTCTCTGCTTTAAACAAAAAATATAAATTATTATATGATATAATATTATATAATATATGATATGATTATATATATAATATTATTATATAATTGTTATATTAATTTATATTGCTTTTTTAAAGCAGAGAATAACTGGTATATTGAAAAGTCTATAATGTCGATATGACAGATATCCTAATCATGTACAACTGTGAAATTTGGTACTTAATAGATTCGTATTTTTATACTAAATTACACAAAATTGTGAGGTTTCAACAAAATCTCTCTTTCATAATTACCTTTTTTTGTCTTCTTTTTCTAGGATCCATTGGAATATGATTTATCGGACTCCCCTATGCAATTGTGCGAGAAACAGATAATCAATGTTCCAAATTTAAGTCAAAATAATCCGATGCTCAGTGTGCAATTAAATAGTTTGTCATCGAATCTTAATAATATGTATCCCCCTCCTATATCACTACCGCAGTCTAGGAAACGAGAGTTAGATAATCAATCTAGAAAGCAGATAAACTCGAACAAGGTATACTTCTTGAATTTTTAATTACTTTTATTATATGTATTATATGTATATATTTATTTTTGTTATAGGAATCTCAAGCTCAGTTCAATCAACAAACAGTGACTGAGGTCTTTCAGAAATTACAAGCTGCAGAAATTACATCTCTGTTAATGGCACTGCAAGAAGCAAGGAAACCAAAAATGACAGAAGAGGAAGTAGAGCAAACACAGAATAACATTTTAAATATACCAGATGTTCGTAGTCTCTATCAAAATAGTAGAAATTTGGATCAGATAGAGACCATTAACTCAAACGATCTAAACAAAATTCTACAAAATGAACAACATGAGAATGAAAGTAATTTGCAAACTACTATCAAAGTAGAGCAACAAGTACAAACCGATTTGCCGAAAAATGAGAAAAAATTGAAATTTCGAGCAAAAATAGGCGAAATTAAAGTAAATCTTGGCTACAATGGAACTACTCTTTACTGTTGTCCAGAGTGCAATATAGGGTATCCAAAGAAGTCAGATACTGAGCAACATATACAGGCTCATTTACAGGTATGTGTTATTTTAACCGGTTTTTAGTTAAATTATTAAGAAAGGAATATATAACTAAACAGAGCAATTTATTATAGGAACGAAAGTATCAATGTAAACTATGCGGTGCCATGTTGAAGAGAAAAGAGCATCTAGATCAGCACATGCGCGGTCATTCAGACGAGCGACCTTATAAATGTCAAATATGCACCAAAGCGTTCAAGAGAAACGAGCATTTAACCAGACATTCTGTTATTCATTCCGGCGCCAAGGAATTTAATTGTACGCTGTGTCAGAAAGCATTCTCGCGCAAGGATCATTTAAACAAGCATATACAAACGCATTATGGCGTTCGAAAGAATAAAACAAAGGAAGAGCCTATATATATCAGTCAAAAAGATCCTTTATATATTAATCAAAAAGATCCTTTATATATCAGTCAAAAAGATACGACAAGATTATTTGAGAACGTTCTTGATCCTACAGTGAAGCCGAAACAAGAAACAACTTATATTTTAAAAGATAATTCCTTACTGGCACATGAACTCCAGAATCTTCAAAAGCAAACTCTGCTACAAGTATTTTCCTTTGCTAAAGATCAAATCGCAAGAGAGGCAAATGAACAAGCACAGACCGACAATACGAACGCAAGATATTTAATGCCATCTTAGTTGTAGAAGAAATCTGCACATATCCCAAAGCAATAGATGATGAATAATAAAGGCAATTTACACTCGCCGTCGAAGCAGTTAGACTCGTTGAAGCCGTCGCAAATAGGTAATTCAATTTTCGAATTCATATTTTGATACTGCGCGACTATGATATAACTTTAGATAATTAAAAGTTTTAATAGACCGAAACATGAAAATGTATTGAAGAATGCCTATTGTAAAGGAAAAGAAATATATATGTATATATACTGTACATATATACATGTATATATAATTATATATTTATAATATCAGGATGTCTAGCGATCAGGAAAATCTGGAAAACCGGGCATTTTCAGGGAATTTTATAAATCTGGAATTGTCAGGGAAAAGAGTCAGAAAATTTTACTATTTATCTAGATTTTTTCACATTATTTTACATTTGTTTTAATAATTTGAAATTTTTATTAAATAAATATAAACTTTTTCTTGACTTTCAGCACGCTAATTTTCTGTTGTTAAAAATTGATTCATCTATAGCTGTTCGTTAATTTATATTTTCATAGATGTTATTTTATTTCAATGTGTTTTTAATAAATGTAAAATTTAAAAATTGATATAATATAACTAAAAAAGGTATTATTTAAATAGTTTATAGTAACATGTTTGTTTCGATTATCGTACATAATGTAAATTGTATAATTGATTTAAATTTTTGTTTTTTTAACTTCCGAATCTTTCATTGTTGACAAAAATATTTCCAAGGATTTCATGATTTAACATTTAATTGATTTATCATCTAGATATATGCAAATTTTATATTTGCAAAAAATACTAAAAAGTCAGGGAAAAAATGAATTTCTGGTCTTGAAAATCTAAAAAAAGTCATCTAAAGAAAATCTTTTTCATTGAGTCTGCTGGACATCCTGAATATATTATATATATTGTATGTATTATACATGTATACATAATTATAATATATTATATATATTATACATATATATTTATAATATATATATATATGTATGTATATATATATATATATATATATATATGTGAACACGATGTATATTATCAAATATATATTTCTACATTATTCCAACATGTTCATTATTAAATATATTTCTTTAAATATTCTCGATGTCTAATTAAAAATTTAAATGTATACAATATAAAAATTAAAAAGTTTAAGTGTAAAGCTCGATAAATTTGAATTTGTAACTATATATTATGATTATAAGAAAATACGTTATTCTATCGGCATATTAGCTTCTTCGATGCTTTTCTACTTCTCGCAATTATCACAAAGCTATTTATGCGATTCTGGCAAGTGCACATTATCGCGATTACAAAATACTTCAAATTATATTTATATGAAATAAGACGATTTTTAATGCAAGCTGAGTAATCCTTAAAATGCGATGACAGCGTATTAATCGTTAAATAATGTTACGTACAGTTAAATTAAAATTAAGCTAAACATATCATTATTTTATTTTTATTTTATTTAGAACACACAAATCTTTTTGAACCAGACTTTTAAATTTTTATCTGATGTTTTTCTACTCCAAGAGCTAAAATAATCAGACTAATGTATTTAATGCGCTAACACATCTGTTTTTTTGAGCAATTTAATTTATACTAAAAATAAATTTTATGAAAAAGAAATAATTTAAGACAATTTAAGGTAAAATGTCATTAGATGCTGGCTATAGTTTTAGTTAGCAATAATTTTTCATAATTATACACAACACACACACACGCGCGCACTATGTATATAATATATAAAAGAATTTACTTTTAATATTTTTCACATTAAATATTAAATCCATTACATTCATCATAATATTAAATTATTAATGCTATAAAATTGAAGTAATTATGTGCTAAAAGTACAAGTTGTATCTGAATCTATCATTCTTTATATTTTTCTCTCCATTCTACCATTTTTTACTATTAAAAATCAATATATAATATGTATTTCTTTTTAATTAAACGTAACAATTTTTCGCATAAAATTCACGAACATCTATTTTATCAAACAACAGTGCATAAGACTGCATAATGCTACTTTGTGCGTGAAACCGCAGATTCCGCACGTCCAATGTACCCGTAAAAAGAAATAGTCTTATAATTTTTAACATACATATTTTATTAAAAAAAAATATATATATGTATTTTTGTTCTGAAAAATACATGTCATTTTTTAAATATTTTTTTAGTTTATAATAACAATTATTTTGTAGGCTATGTGTATAAAGTCTTATTTAATTCGCACTGTTTAAAACAGTGTTTAGAGAGACGAATTTCATACATCTAAAACACATTTACATCTAAAAAATTAATTTTTTATTTTAAGTAGCTGAGCTTGCATTAAATCTACTTTGAATATAATTTAGATTATTTTATGAGTGCGATTTAGCGCATGTGAGTCGCATAAATAACTTGTAACAATTGCGAGAGATAAAAAATATTGAATTGTAAGAAGTACGATAAAAAAATTTCGAAAGTTTTTTGCATTTTATATTTAGATTTTTTAATATTTATATTGCATTTTTATTCACTTCTTAAGCGACTTAATTTGATGGAATTAGACATTGGGAAAAAATCGACAATCTGTTTTACAAATATGAAAAGATAAGAACACGATACTCGTGTGAATTTAATATCTAACAAATTAATACATATTAAGTAGATAAATTCACAAAATTCATTGTGGAAGTTAGTGTTCAAAAATAACAAATAATAGACTGCCAGAAATTTGGTAGGAATTTGCAGGATAAATTTTTTGCATATATATGTGTTGCATATATATGTATTCAATCTAGTGGAAAAGCTTATTACAAATTAAATTTTCAGAAAAGCAGCATTTTTATCAAATTGCTGAGAAAAAAAATGTATATAGAATAATTTTTCTTTTATTATAATTAGTAAGAGGACATTAAAAAAAAAATATCTTTTAATGTCATTTTTCAATGAAAATGAAAAATTAATTGATATTTATATACATAAAGAATATAAAACGTTAACGAAAATAAGCAACATTGTTTCGAATGACTTGTATTGATTTGTTGATTTATAGAATATCTTTTTTTGGAATTTATCTATTTATCTTTTTCCAAAATTGCTTATTATCTCTCATCATCTTATATTTTTGAAGGCTGATTTTTCCAGTTCCAAGAGGATATCGAGATATTAGGTGATATCTAAAAATATAACAAGTGCCTGCTTGATAAAATTATAATGGTCAAATTATAATAATCTCTTTCGAATTTGTAATTATTTACAAAATTACACATTTTACATTTTAAATCCTATTTAGATTGTATTTATCTCGTTTATTTAAAAGATATTTAAAAAAGAAATGCACTTGGCATTATTTTTAGAATCGCCTGTTCGATAATCCAATTTTAGTTTATACAAATAGATACTAAAACGAGAAAAATCATTGAAGGACTTCCATGTGTTGTACATATATATTCGGGAGAGAATCGTGATTAAAAGTTCTCCAAGATGTCACACGGAGTTCCAAGATGTCACGCGAATTAGATATAAGAGAATTAGAATATACAATAGCATATTGAACTCTCTCATGTAAGAACAAGACCAAAGACTGCACACACGCGTGTGGAAAATAGCAGTATTTTAGATTGTTCGCGCGCTAAAATTCTCCGGCAAGTTTCACCCCTTGATAATGTAATAATTCTTGAATCAGTAATTGAATGAAGATATCTTTGCATGAAAAATAGAGCAAAGAAGGGCGACGAATATTTTTTCGGCGTACAATTTTTTTTTATTGAGATTGGATATACTTTGCGTGGAATTGGGAAGACGATGGAACTTTTTGTTAGGTGATGCATTTATGTAACTTGACGTAACACTGTTTTAAACAGTGACTGTGCGAATGTACGAAATGTACGAGTATGTGCGAATTAAATAAGACTTACATATAGTCTGCGAAATAATTGTTATTACACAGTAATAACTAAAATAGATAATTAAAAAGTGACATATGTATTTTTCAAACAAGATATTTTTGAATAAAACATGTGTGATAAAAAATTTTACAAGGCTTTTTTCTCACAAGAACACCGAACATGCGAATCTGCGGTTTCGCGTCGCATAAAGTAGTGTTACACAGCTTTATGCAATATTGTACGATAAAATTGACATTCGTAAATTTTATGTGAAAAAGTTCACATTTTTAGTTTGAACTTTGGATGACATTTAAAAGCTAACTTTTTATACACGAAATGAAACAAACTTTTTGCACTCTTTGATATGATACATTCTATATTTAAATGTATAACATTTTGTTACATGCTTTGAGAATTTTATCAAGTATTATAAAATAGAGCATTATTATTTTATATATTTTATATATTTAATCTCTAATATATTAATCTCTTATGAATATAAAATTTATTTGTAGCGAAATATGGAAGGGATCATGGTAAAATACACAAGGGTATAAAATTCTGATATCTCCGTTATTATTGGTATTTTCCGTCTCTTTCTCTATTGTATTTTTCTCTTTATACATTTAATATTAATACTAATTGTAAATTGAAATTGAATTCTCATTTTATATTTATTCATATATTATCGGCGCATATTTAGCGTTGAATGATGAATGTAACCTTTTATTTCAAGTTCAGATTAAATACAATCTTTTTATATTGGTTAAATGATAATTGGACATTTATGTATTGTATCTAGGCTCAGCTAATCAAGATTTATAAATAGAGAGATAATATATATAGATATTATAATCTAATTTTTAGTAAAATATCGCATATTTCTCGATTGATTTATTATTATTGCATTTTTAATTTGCACAAGCAGCTGATAATTTTGCGTAAATGCTATGAGTAATACTGAAAAGGGATCCAAGCCAGTCGACCAGCTGGTAACCCACCCCTTTGATGGAGATTGAGTTGTTGTGCTTACTGTCACGATTTCCACCTCATTTTTCTTATTTATTTCTTCGTCTTGCAGCTCCAATTGTTCCAAAGGCTGAACATCGTTAAACCAATCATCGTCGAGCAATATCTCTGTTTTGTTGGAACTCTGTTCTTCGGAGCTCACATTTGTCTCGTTCGCTTTAATCGTCGTTGCTATTTTGACGGACGATTCTTTCTTGAGATTACTCGAATTCGCTTTAATTTCATAATTCTGCAGTGTTGACAACGATTTTAGCTGATCCAAGAAACTATTATTGGGATATGTGGTCGGGAGATTTGCATATTTAT